GGTAGGGTTCTCCTACAGAGGAGTGCATATTCAGGGTAGTTCTATTTTTCCTCACCAAGGTCAGGCCCCCAAGGTGCCCCCATTATAGGGTCCCCACTCTCCAGCCTTTCGACCATGCATGGCACTAAGGCCATAGTCAGTCTTTGTGCCAAAAGAGGAAGGTTATCACCTTGAATGGTGGTTTCTGAACATACCGGTGGGCTCATAGCTCTCACTACGGCAAACCGTACCTGCCACCCACTCCGTATGGATTTCTCACTTGCCCCTGGTATAGGGGGAACTATTGTGTGCAAAGGTTTGTGTACAGTTTGTATTTCAAACAATTGCGTAAAATAAACAAACAACAGTTATTAAAGCCTAAGCAAATAAAAACATGTTATCAAACAAGGTAGGGTAAAAGCGCAATTTTTAAGTTCTTTTATTAAACTAGCCCATCACTAAATGAGATCAACTCTTTAGGCTTCCCCAGTGGAGTCGCCATCTGTCGTCGTCGTCAAAAGAGGCGGTCAGAGTGACACGATGGTTTCTGACTTTGACCCGCGTTTTAAAGTGATGTTACAACGCCTTTAGGTTGTCCGATAACCGGGGTGGACCTAAAGGCGAGGTTTTCGAGAATGGGTTCTGCAGTCGCCACCAATGTTTTATCCGGAAACATTGGAAAAGGAAAAAAAGAAGGCGTTGGTTTTGAAAAACCAACTTTGGCCATTATAACCAGAGTTGGGTAAAGGAGTTAGTTACGTGTAGGGAAGGTATTAGCTTCCCTATGATGCCCCTTTCGGGTTCCCTATGATGGGTCATTTATTTCATAAATGAACCTTTAAAATGATGCTTTTACCCTTTATTTATTTGCGGAATTTAAGGTATCGACTGCATGGCCCTAACAACTAATGCATGGATAAATGTAAATAAAAAGCGGTAAAAGAGAGGGAGAAAGTGTGGAAACCTTTGAAGCACGCTTTCGTAATTAAAATTCTTGAAGTAGGATGTTTTTTGGCAATCCTTCACTCTACAACGTTGGTCGCTCTTCCTCGCAATGCTACAGAATACCCTCTAAGAATGCTAAGAAACTCTGAAAGTGCTTCGGAGGGATCCTAGGAGAAGAATTTCAAAGAATTATAGAAGGGAAATTAGAAGAATTATGTGAAAAGGAGGGGAACGCGCCCTCCTTTTATAGGGATTCGCGCTTATCAGGTCGAGTCGGTCGTCTCACCTGGCAAGGTCGAGACGGCCGTCTCGCCAAGTGGGACGGTCGTCTCACCCTTAATAAATGGTGAGAAGGTCGTCTCGCCAAATGAGACGGCGGTCTCGCTTTGGTGAGTGGCGAGACGATGATCTCGTCAAACAAGACGGTAGTCTCGCCATTGGCGAGTGGCGAGACGGCCATCTCGCCAAACGGGACGGCGGTCTCGCCCTTTGCCGATGGCGAGATGGCGGTCTCGGCCTTCCAGGTGGAATTCCTTATTTTTTCTGTACAAAAAACCTTCCTACTCTAATATGGGGCCTATTAGTCTATCCTAGGGACCTTTTAGGCCTTGTCCATCTTCGAATTGGAGGTCTTCTGCTCTTTATTTTGAGGTCGGGCAAGATTTGGGGTTTACAGGCTAGAAGCGATAAGAATCATTGAGTAGGATTCTCAGTGGATTGAGTGTTGTGTCGTCTCTAGGAAAGTTGTCTTCATCCTTTGTGGCTTCAAATGAGGTGTTTATCTCTTGTGTGACTCAAGAGAGGTGTTTTCTAATCATTGTTTATTTCTAATCTGTTTATCTAAGAACTATTATTTTAGTGACTGAGTTAATCCTCTTTAGAGTGATTAACAATTGGACGTAGGGTCTTTTGATCCAAACCAGTATAAATTATTGTATAATCTTCTTTTCTTATCTCTTTATTTTTTAAGTACTCTATTATATTATCGTTTAATCAATAAAATCTTGTGAAAAGTTTTTAAAGGGATAATATTTTCATAAGAAACCAATTCACCCCCTCTTGATTTTTGTCTTAACGTAAACATTCCACTGCACGATACCAATAACTTTCTCCAAATCAGTCCTAGAAATTTCTTGTCACAACAACCCAATTTTGCAATTTTTTATTTAGAAATATTTGATTTTATCGTAATTATTTTTATGCTTAATTTATCTTGTTCAATCACAACACAACAAAAATATCCTGCTCCAGGGCGAGTCGTTATTTTGTCTTGTCCCTGTTTTCTTTTCTATTCTCAGCTTTTAGTTTAGTTTTTAGTTAGGAGAGTTCATCTAGTGTTATTGCACTTTTAGTACTCATTTTAATTTACGTTATTTAATTATTTAGAATTTTTATTTTCTTCCAATACTACTTAATTTTCATTTTCAATTTATCTATTTTCGAATTCTAATTACAATTCTCAATTTAGTTTTGGAGTTATTGTTTTTAGAAATTTTAAATTTAATTACTGCACTCTTTTATTTTAAAGTAATTTTTTATTTTGCTCTTTATTTTGGCAATTTTTGAATTTAATTAAAAGCACTTTGTGTTTTGTTTTACAAATTTTATTTATTTAAATTCTACTTCAATTTAATTTTAATTATCATTATTATTCTATTGCAATTTGATTTTAATTTTTATTATTCTGTATCGAGTTTATTTTTTTCACTATTTCATCAATCCCTATATTTACTCGTTATTTACTAAGTTTAGAGGGAATGATGTGTGGTAATGAATAGGTTCCTATAATTATGTCCTTGTGAGATTCGACAGGGTTAGTTATACTTGTATTAGTTTAGCAACTTGTTTATTATTTTTTATCGGTATTTTTATTGATACAAGAATCACTCTCAAACTATTGGTCACCGCACGAACCATCGACTTTAATATTATTGTTATCGGAAAACACAAATGTCCTACAAGACAAAAATAAATAACAAGAATACAAGAAATTTACATTGTTCAGTCAAAATGATATCCATGACTGTACTAAATAATAATTTTCATTCTTTTAATTAAATTTACAATTATATAAATATTTATAATGGAAAAAAATTAGATAAATAGATCAAGTTTAATAACATTTCAGAATCCTAAGAGGTTGAACCTTTTTGCATGAACCCAACTTCAATGCTGATTTCGCCATAGACATGATAATGATCACTAACAAAGCAAGAAATTGACACAAGAAATGGAGCAGACAAGGGTAGGAGAGATGTGAAGAGTATCGTGACATGTCCCTCTTATAGAGAACATAATTTACTAATTACTCGCAACTAATTCAACTATGGAGCCCATTTCCATACCCTACTAATGACTAAAGAAACTAATCATTCTTACTTTTTGACATTTCCAAATTTAGTTTATATATATATATATATATATATATATATATATATATATATATATATAACTAAATTAAAATTTTGGTATATTAGTTTGTATTTTTTTCATTAGCAATAAGTTTCATTATCTAATTTAAAAAAAATTACACACTTGTCTCTTATAATATTACTTAAATAACTTTCATATTCATTTTAACTTTAAAATAAGTAAATTTTTCTTATGTTTTTAATAAAAGTAATATTCACAATTCCTTTATTTTTTTTAACAAGATATTATATTTTCTTATTTTTAATAAACAATATCCACTTTTTTATATTTTTAATAAATTGACGACACTCATTTTGCTATTTTACTTTCAAAATATTATATTGATTAAAAGTAAAAAATAAAAAATAAAAATATATTTTTTATGTATAAAATAAAATACGGAAGGTAAGTGCCCACTTATATAATTAATATTTATTAAAAATACTAGAAATATGAATGTCTATTTAAACTGTGTGATGAGGTTTTTTGAAAAATTAAACATAAAGAATAAGATTTTTTTTAAATAAGTCACTTAATATAATATTAAAATAATACTTGTAATTTATCTTTTAATTATAATTTTGATTTATTAATATAATATTTAACATTATCTCGGTTTATTTGTGTTTTGTTACTTTTATATTGAGAAGAGTTTTGTATATTTAATATATTATTTTAGAAAAAAAAATTCTATATGAAAATTTATATCTTATCTTGTGAAACAGTTAAATAATAAAGAAGAAATAAGATCTTAACTGAAAAGAAAAAAATTTAAGGATCATGATATGAAATTATTGAGATTTTTAATGAAAGGAGGAGATCCAACAACTTGTTTAAACCTAAAGAGGAGTATGAAAAGTTCAAAAATAAAACAAATATATTATCTTGCTAAAGAGAAAGTACCCAAATCATCCCCATCAATCATTGTATGCATTAATCATTATGAATCTCCAGAAGCTTCATAAACTTTACTTTGCTTTGTTTTAAAGTGTAGATAAATGGTAAAACTGTAAAACGCTTTTTCAATAATATGGTTAGTTTACTAAAAGAGGAAAGAAACTTTTATCAGAGTGTGCAGCATGTGAATCTCACCTAATACATTCTATGCACCACACATGTGACACAGGATTATAAAATTAATTGAATTCTTAATAATATTCTCGATTTCAATAAACAAAAAGGGACATAATTCATGTTAAAATATTATAAAATTAATTACATCTTAATTATATTCTCGATCTCAATAAACAAAAAGAGACAGAAATGGGAGAATAGATTATTCAACCATGCAAATGGCAAGATCCATGACTTAGTATTTTATTCTTTTCAAATATTATATGTTATTTATGATCTATTGGAAAACGGGTACATTAAATTATATATAAGCACTGAACACAAACAATATATATATTTACACGAATCATAAATACTCACTGACATTCATATCCACCACATTAAAAACTTCAACATATAATAATTCAACACAGTTGGTGACATAACCGTCAAGCATAGCCAAGTTTATTCCATAATAAGAAGGATCTACATAACCATCCTTCTCCTCAAACTTCACACTAATACATTATTATTAAACAGATAAGCACTTAACCTAAGGACATGGCCATATGTCTTGACTTTTTTAACTGATGCATAACTTTCTGGAGCTATTATGCCTTGAGAAGATGAGCATCGATATCTCTAGTGCATTTGTGAACGTACTCGATGTAGCCGTATGGAGGATCAACTTCATCAGCAACCTTCTCATATTCGATGGTCCATTTGATAATAGCACCACCATCATTCTTCTCAATTGCTTGAAATATGAGCTTGAAGTGCTTGAACTGCTGATCGATGTCCCCATTGAAGAGCTTGTAGATGATTGTTTTGTTTGCCTCATCAACTGATTCAATCCTTTCCTGACATGTTGTAACCTTACCATCTATTCTTTCACAATCAATCAAGAAGATCAACAACCAATATCAACAACAAATCAACAATAACAATTAAAAGAAATTATAACTAGAAATTCAGAACTAAACTAAGTTAGCCCGTTTGTTAAATATTTTCGTTAAAAAACACTGTTTTTTTTTTTAGCTTCAATAATCTGAGAGGCAAACTATATTCAATCTCAAGGTAAATAGGTTTGATGTTGATAAAATTAGAATAGAAATTTAATCACCTATAGTATAAGTCCAGTGTTTGATGGATTCGTTGTGGTGCCAGTCCTCACCATGATGCAGCTTAGTTCCATGAACTCTGTCAGTAAGGTTTTGAACATGATGAAGTTTAGTGGCAAAGAGGTTGAACCACTTTGCAGCAGTTGCATGTACTCCAATTTCAGTGCTGATTTTACCAACAAGTGACATGATTGATGATATAAAACAGAAAAAAACAACAAGAAACAGAAACAAGAAAGTATACAAGTACAGCTACAGGAGATGATGGATGAAGAGTGCTGCGACCATATCCCTTTATAGAACATTATTTACCTATTCCTCCCAACTCATTAAACCATGGGGTCCATTTCAATACCTAATAAAAAAGAAAGTGACTCATTTTTTACTTTTTGAAATTTCCAAATATAGTTATATATATATATATATATATATATATATATATATATATATATATATATATATATATATATATTCCAGGCCAATAAATAAAAGTCTGTAACTAAATTAAAATTTGGGCATATTGGTATGTAATATTTTAAAGAAAACAATACAATATTTTCTATAAGATTATTAGATCACAAGGATCCAGTTTGGGGTGTACAGTATTCCCTCAAACTTTTAAATAGATCTTAATTTTTTTATTTTTAATAAAATAATATTCACATATTCTCTAATTTTTAAAAGAATATTCATTTGCATATTTTAATAAATAATACCTATTTTTTTTATATTTTGATATTACTGTATTATTAAAATATTTAATATGAAAAATTATATAAAATCAGTTGATATTCAAATCTTTTCTTAAAATTTCTTATGTTGAAAAAGCGTAAAAGTTCACTTAAAAGTATTCTGATCTTGAAATCAATTTTTAAATAAGAAAGTGATATATTTTAAAATAAATTATAAAATAAAATTTATTTTAATTAAATTATTTTATATAATATTAAAAAATAACAAATGTAAGATATAATTACTAATAATCCTAATATTGAAATAAAATATTATAATGAAATAAAAATAATTAATAATAATATAAAATAATATTAAGTATTACAACTATTCAACCGAACAAACAGATGGACTAATTAATAATAATATAGAATAATATTAAGTATTAGAACTATTCAACAGATACAATATATTAAATTAAATTATTTGCAAAATGATGAAATAAAGAATAATATTATTTTACTGACATATTTCGTACATTCACCTTTTTTTTTAATTTAAGGATCCTGTTACAAAAATTTTAAGATTATTAAAGAAAAGAGGATGTTAATAACTTCTTTCTAATATAAGGAGGAGTACGAAAAGATGTGACCTAAAAAATAAAACAAATAAATTACCTTGTTAAAAAGCAAGTACTCAAATCAACCCCCTCAATAATTGAATTAATTATTACAAGAAATAAAAATATAAAATAATGTACCCGTGAATCTCACCCAATACATCCTACGCCGAAAACATTAGCGAGTGTGAATTTAGAAATTATGAATTGTATCATGGGAACCTAACATGTCAGGTTCTTAAGCATAGTTAATTAAATTGGTTTATTAAATAAAATAAATAAAAACATAATTTTAAAGAAAAAAATTGGACACATAATTCTCAATTAAAATTTTAAAAATTAAAATAATATAGCATACCCACTTGCTATTTATATTTAATGATGCTTCATTATTCATGGGACATTATCAACTTAGATCAAGGAAATGTGTAATGACTAGGATAAAATATTTTTATGTTACTATTAATTGTTTGGTCATGTAATTTGATTATTGAAAATTAGGTACGGAGTCAAATCAAATTAAATATGATATTTTAGATTCAATTTGTTTCGAATGAGTTTTCATTTATATATATATATATATATATATATATATATATATATATATATATATATATATATATATATATATATGGATCTTAGATTATTTTTCCCAAAATGATTGAGAATTACATTTTTTTTACTACTTGTTTTGTTTTGTTCTCTATATTTATTCATTATTGAATTATTGACAAGCGTACCAAAATTATTAATCACAGTATAGTATTTCGATTAAATAAAAGTCGATCCCACGAGCAACGATTTCAATGAAAATTTCCAATTTTATGCTTACTAAGTAGATTAAAATAGAGTGGGTTTTGCATAAAGAGTTGAATTGAAATTAAATGACAAAGAACTGTAGATTTTTTAGAAAATATCAATTAAAGACACTTAGGATTGACTTCCTTCTTTATCTCTCTTTTGTAATGGCTATATCAATTAAGAACATCAATTAACCTAACAATGTTGATGCCACCTACTCAAATCATCCATATTGATTCCTCACACATGAAATTCATAAGAAAACCTAATCAATGTTGATTCCTCACACAATTAAGAGATTTTCTAGCATTAGGTTTAGGGTGTTAAGCAATTGATACATTCATTCCATTCGTGACAATTAACATAACAAATATTCTTACCGTGATCTAGTGTTCAAGATATATTTTTCAATCATATCCCAAACATCAAGAATAAATCATTCCAAAGCACAAATGATAAGAATAACAACATCAAACATAGATTAATATCTCAAAATATCACCATGATACAAAAGAGTTCAAAGGAAGTGCACCCAATCCCAAAAGAATGAAGTTAGTCACTCATGTTGGCCATTACAATGCTCCAAATGTGGAAGAAGTGAAGAATTGATGAAGATTTGATGAAACCCTTGCAGTAGTCGCACCTCTTCTTCTCCAAAACTGCTTGTTTTTCTCAAAACACATATTCTCTTTTTATAGGAAAAATTAGGCTTTTGGGTTTCACGTCTTTCGCTCAAGGGACAACTTTCGCTTAAGCAAAAGTTGCCTATATTCGCTCACTACAAGAAATATTAAAAGTATTAAAATTACCGACGGTCAAAATCCGTCGGTAATAATTTTATTATTTATTAAATATTTTACTTATTTAAGCATATTATGAATTATTATCAGATTATGATATGAGAAATGTCATTGACAAGATTTGAACCCAATACCTCAAAGTTAGAGGTTGATATTCCAACCACTAAGCTACTAGAATTTTTTGATAATAATTTATAAATAAATTATATTTATATACAAATATATTTATATATTTTTATATTTTTATATTTTTATATATTTATATATAATTAAATATTTATTTTTTAAAATTATTTAATTTAATAAATTATTATAAATTAATCTAATTATGATTAAATTAAATTATTAAATAAAAAATATTTTATTTTTTAATTAGGTGAATAATTAAATTATATTATATAATTTTATCAGACGGATATATCCGATCGGTAAATAATTGTTAATTTACCAACGGAAATATCCGTCGGTAAATCCGTCGATAAATTAACAATTAATTACCGACCGGATATATCCGTCTGATAAATTGATCTATAAATTACCTACGGTCCAGTCGGTAACTAATTATTATTTTACCGACGGATATATCTGTCGGTAACATCAAATTCCACAAATATTTTATATTCGTCGGTAATACGCGATTTTCTTGTAGTGGCTCAAGCGACAAAACGCTCGCTTGAACGAGTGAACTTCAGAGAAGAATAACTAACATTCGCTCAAGCGAATTTTCTTGCGCTTGAGCGACTGACTTCCAGAGAAGAATAATTGATATTCGCTCAAGCGAGAGTCCATCCTGCTCGAGCGACTTCCATGCTGAAAATCTTTTTTCTTCTTCCAGTTTTACTTCAATTATGCTGACAATTATGCTCCTTACTCTTGTATCAAGGTATTCTCGAATTCATCCTATATTGGGAGAAAAATATATTAGAATTAACATAAGTTAAGTGGTTTCATAACAATTCAAGGCATAATTATATCAACTTTTTATCACTTAACAACTCCCCTCAACCTAGAATCTTGCTTGTCCTAAGCAAAGTAATTTCTCCAAAACAAAACCATCACCTATTATCTCTTTCTCTTCCAGAACCACAACATAAAAAAATTTCAGAGGTGATGCTCACAACTCCAAATGAAAATAGAACACATAAGCATTCAAGTTACAGAAACTAACAAAGAATAATTAGTCCTCAACTATCCTCAGAGAAGCATGATCTCTCAAATAGAGTTATATATAATCATCTATAATTCTCACAGGTAAGTGTTTATCTCATTCAATCACTTCATTTAGACAATCCAATATTGATAAGCATCTTCAAGCAATCAACATTTGTTAAGTAAGACTTAAATTAAAAGGTCTTTTAAGGCTTGTAATGAGGCTGGGTTAAGAAAGAATCATTGGTTTTTCTGGGATATACAAAAGTATTTGAGAAATTCAACACATATGAATGATTCTTGATTAACATTTTCTCAAGTCAAGCTTCAAACTTCATGCTTTTGTCCCTAACAATAATGATAGTGAGTTAATAATCTCACAAGTTATTATTCCCCCCTTTTGACTTCTCTTCTTTTTTTTCTCATGCTTTTGCATGTATCCTTTTTGCCTTTGTCATAATTTTTAAGCTTTGCTTTTTCTTTTCCTTTACACCATTTTTTTTTAAAGAATAACAACACCCCAATAATACCTATAGGACAACAATAGTAGTACCCAACAATAGGAATAATAGTGACATTCATACTCATTTCCTTTCTCAAATATAGGAAGGTAGATAAATAGTTTTTAGGCTCAGGGGTTCTGTTTAAGAAACAATATTATTTTTGCCTCAGAAGGGGTTCAAATGGATGTCCTATAATTAATGTAGGGTTGGCTCTAGGTTATATCTACTACAAAGAAAAAAAATGCTTTTATCATTTTCAAGTCTCACCAACATGCAATCACATTAAAGAATCAACCAATACCAGTTATCGTCATAAAGTATTGACACTCAATTTGAACTGTTTGTGGTACTCTACTCACTTGGGTTTTGGCTAGCTTCTCCAATTCAGTTAATTCCTAATTCCCCTCATCAATTTCTTTTCACTATCATACTCATCATCCCAAAATCACTTGTTATTGAAAACAATCAAAATGGTATTCTTCAGTTCCAGATTTGAATTGGACAATAAGCAATAATCTCATATATGGCTCTAATCCAAATTGTATGGGACAACAATTTAATCACAATAATTTAAACATTCATCACATTAAATATCAATTCAGAATATTCAAAACAAAACAACTTCAAATAAATTCAACATAAAAC